TACTATGGCAGACAACTTCGGACTCGGTGCGTTCTACATAGTCTCCCTGAACACAAGACCAAGTTGCGACGAGTTCAACCCACTTCTTTAAATCGAAAGGAGACTGCGACCATCACAGAGGCCACAACATCTTGGTCTTCATATATTCAATCAATCTATGGGAGTTAGAGCCTAGGCGCTCTGTTTGCTGAGTCGACAGTGTATGTGCTACTGAAGGCTTAAGAAATAGCGCCTAAAGTAAAACGTATACTGCTACTAGAATCAAGTGAAATTAATGAACTAGAAAGATAAAAACTGAATCTAATGGCCCATGATGGAGATGCGGATAGGAGGTACAAGCCCGATCAACAAATAAAGAAAGGAAGGGACAAACTAAGCAGCAAGTAGGATCACGCCACACTTAACTCGGCAAAAATGGCTCACCTTTCGAGAAGTGGAATATAAACAAGTCAGAAGTTGTAATTGGGAGAAAGTGAGATAAGAGAATAGGGATTAATTAGATAGGCCAGGAAAAAAAGAGCAATAGCACAACCATTTTAAAAGAAAGTTGGTCAAGAGATTGACTTTTTTTGTCTCCTTGACAAACTTTAGCTTGCTGCTGGAAATGGCATGCCTTACTTACGATGCCGGTGAAACTTCTTGGAATATAACATATATAAGGTCCGATGCTGAGAATTATGATAAATACTGTAGCAGAGGACTTCTGACAAGGCTTGTTCAACTATTTTCCATGAACCTCATAGCCAAGTTGTGAAAACGAGTTTAGACCACTTCTATACTTTGAAGGGAGATTGCGACTAAAGTAGAGACAACAACACCCTGTTCTTCATATATTTGCATATTGCTTAAACAAACTCGGAGGAGATCAGGGACAGCAAGATCAGCAAAAAGGAGATGATTAGAGCAAGGAAATATTTTTAACTTTAGCAAACGACTTGTCTAGAAGGCCAAGGAAGAAAAATCGGAGACCAAGAGGTGAGGTTTAAAGTGAGCCTATTCAAAAAAAGTAGAACAACACTATTTTGGGGTTGGCATATAACAGTTTACAACACTTCATATAACAATATACATGTTTGACCATGGAGGTGGTCCGTGAAGCAAAGCCTGTGCACTTACCGAATAGGGACAAAATAATCTGCAGTATCAACCTAGTTTTCCCTCTAGCATGGGAATACAGATTAGAGCCTTCTCAGTGAGGCAGGAAAGTGTGTTATCAAAGACATGGGGCAGAGTGTAGAATATTACGTATCAGGTAGCACAGGTATGGTTGTAGTGATCGAGTGAAATCAATGAACTATGGAGATAAGAGATGGGGAAGGAGGAGACTCTGATAGGACCTAGCAAACGAGGACTGCGGACTAATATGGCAGACTCGGATAAACATTCCCAGCACAGTCTGGGATAACGAAGCCAGCGGGCATTGTGAATAGGTCTCAATTAATTCGCTCGAAAAGGCACATCTGAACTTTATTAAATAAGCAAGTGAGAAACTGTGATAATGTAGAGGTGTTATCAGGGGATAGGTGAATGCACTGAAACAGGAGAGATACTGCAGCTGTTGAGCAGACAATAGATCAAGGGATCGACTTCACTTGTCGATTTAACGAGTTGTGGTGGAGTGCTAAAACTGGAATGGCTTAATCACGATACCGGCAAAACGTCTGAAAATGTATCAAGTTTAGGGTCTAAAAAGCGAAATTATCATGGAATCTATGACCTCTGGACAAGAGGAGTTCCTCTAGGTCGCCCTGACAATATGATCAAGGGTAAAATATCCTCTATCGACGGGATAATTGAGAATTAAACTAGGTCGGATGCTGGTATAAGACGTTACTATGGCGAAAGATGCAAATATATGAGTTGTATTACTCGAATTGTGGCAGTAACTGACTACTATGTGAATTGAAGTTAAACGAGTCTAAACTGTCTAATGACATGATTTTATCTGGACTGCACCCCAATATGCTACTCTCAATACATATCTAGCTTTTTTTGACAGTAGCACTGGTATTAACTAAAGTAATTATACTTAACGATTTAAGTTACAAATCCAATCATCTCCTATCTGCTCTATAAATATCCTAAGTATACACCATAATCCTCCATTCCGTAACTTTATTTTGGATTTTAGAGAAGTTGCTGGGCGTGGCAAACAAAACTGAAGCAATGCTTGCAGAAAGCAAGATGGAAAACATCCTTTCCAAGGAAAAGATAAACAGCTTGAATCAGGATTTGGACGAGGCTAGGAAAGCATATGATGTGGCGAGACAGAATATTGAAAAATCGGAGGAACGCATTAATCAGATATCTGAAAAGCTCTGTGGACATGAAAATGAGCGTGATGCTTTGCTTTTAAAAATAGCAGAGAAAGAGTTAATTGTTGCGGAATTGGGAAATCAGAAGTCCATGAACGAAGAGAAAATAAGACATCTTGAGGATTCATTAAAAGAGGCAGTTGATAAATCGTCTACGCAGATGCGAAGTTTCCAAGCTACTTTAACTATTTTTTTAAACAAACTTTCATTGTTGAGCACTATTTTAGATGAAAAGTAAGTCTATTTAAAAATAAACATGCCCTACAGTTCTATAATAGCACAAGAGCAAAATTCAGCTTTTGAAAATATATTGTGTATGCATTTCAATTATTTGACAAACTATATTAGATTCGATTAAGCAACTCTCTATACAAAATGAAGATGCAAATCGTAATAACCAGCTCAAATTGGTAATGTTTATAGAACTTAATGAGTTGTGCTAATTGAATTCCTTTATTTAATACCCATTATTATATCGGATCTAGAAACGTTATGAAGATGAAAACAAACTTAAGAATTCTCAAATATGGAACTTGGAACGAAGTTGCAGATCAAAATCAATAGCTCTTGAAGATTCCAAGCACGAAGTAAAAAAGCTACAGGTAAATTCACTAAAGTTGTGATATGGTAAATTTCATTTTTAGTCCCAACTTACTACAATGGAAAAGGCAACGAACGAGCTTGAAGAAAGGCTACAGCAAAAGAATAAAGAATATATTGAAGCCTCAAGCACTGTTGAAATAATTGAGGCAATTATCATTCCTTTGGTTATCTTAAAATAGCAAGAAAGGCAAGCCATTCTTAAGAAACTTTCACGACAGGAAATAGCTTTGAAAGGTCAAGAAGCAACGCTTTCATCATGCAGGTAACGGCATTTTCTGTCATTAACTATATAGACTTGAGCAAAATGAGTTAAGAAGAAAAAATGAAGAAATAATGAAGCAGTTAAATAATCTAATGAAATCCGAAAGTAATGCAAATTCCAGAGCAACACGCGCAGAAGACCTAGTACATGTAATGAAAGGCCAGATATTAAAAAAAACACCTATTTATATCTTTCATTACTCAGCTCTACATTTCCTCATATTTTTAGGAAAACGAATGTGAAATCGAGGTCCTTCAACAGCGGCTAAGAACCCTTGACGCCTCCTCTGAATCTACTCTGAGTCGATTGTATGCAAAGGAGAAAGAGTTCGAGGCTCTTATGAAAAAGAAAGAGGATATTAATTTTGAATTGGAATCTAGTAGAAGCCAAATCCGAGACTTGAATAAAGGTATACAACAATTGGAGCAAGAGAGAAACGAGGCTATAAAAAAAAGTGATGAAATTGCAAAAGAACTTGTTTATGCGCTTGAGCAGCAACAAAACCAGCAAGAAAATACACTGATGCAAAAGTCAAAAGAATTAGAATTATTGCAAAACTCAAATGAGGAGCAGAAAAATATGTTCATAAAGGATAACAAGAAAATGGTATGTTAGTGATACTTACTAAGAGCTTATTCTCCATGCTAACATCCATTCAAGTAAGGTATATTTTATTTTTTTGCATTGCTATTTAAATTCTTGGCTTACATGCTAAAACCATTAGCTCATAAACAAAATCATGTTTCCTTGCATATCTAAGTAACCTCATTTTGTCATCTATAATTCTAAATTCGTATACTTATCCTATACTTATGAGGCTTCATTTTTCACATGATCAATAATAATAATCATAACAAATCAATAAGAGTGTTAATTTAATCTTGCTTTACAATTATTTGGAGAGCTATGCACATATATTAAGCAAAATACATTTATAACCAAAAGATAATCCCAATATAGTTTCAAGATGTTGCATTTAAT